GCAGTGGGTTTGGTTTGGGCTTTGCTTCCATAAAGATTGCAGCCTTGGAAACCCTGTGGGGAAGTGAGTCGGAATCAACGCAATGGCAGTGGGTTTATTGTGAAAACAGATTGAGATAGGAAAAAAAATTGTAAGGCACATTCTAATTTTTTGCTAGTTACATAACAAAACGAAATTTCTAGGTTATGGTAATTTGCTTTCTCTCTTTTTGGAGAGAAAGGACTCTCTTCACTTTCCCATTCCTCTGGGGTACACGAGAAACTGACCTAAGGAAAACTTACAGGGCAGTTCTACTCTGTTCTATGGGGTGCTGTGTGTCAGAATTGACTCAATGCAGTGGGTTGGTTAAACCCTTTCCAAGGATCCCTGTGGTGAATGGTTAAGCACACAGCAGTTAACCATAAGGTCGGCTGTGTGAACCGACTAGCTGTTGTCATCAGAAAAACCTGGTGATCCACTCCCGTGGACTTACACCCTAGAAAACCTTATGGGACACTTCTGCGCTGTCCTACAGAGTCATTAAGAGGCAGAATCAACTCAGTGGCAACAGGTTTGTTTCTTTTAAGCTCTTTCTATAAATTAGAGGATCAGAGACTTGGGGTGGTGGAGATGGTAACTGTGCATTGAAAAGTTGGCAGTTCGAGTCCCTTAAATCACTTAAAGTTCTTGAAGAGTAAACTTGTCCCTGGGTGGTCCAAACGGTTAAGGCACTCTCTCCACCCAAGGTGCCCGGAAGAAAGGCCTGGTGATCCACGCCCCCAAGTCAGTCACTGAAAAACCTTACTGAGCACAATTCCTCTCTGACGCGTGTTGGGGCGCCATGAGTGAGAATCAACTCCCCAGCAGCTGGTTCTCACTGGTTATAAGATAGAGACCGTCACTGAAATTGTCATTGTAATACACAGACTGTGATTGTCAAGGACGAAAAGTGGCCAGAAAGGCTTTAATGGTGTCTCTGAAGTGTTTATGATCTCATTAGGGTCTCCGGTTTGGTTAGTTGTTGTTGTTGTTGTTGTTATGTGCCGTCGAGTCAAACCTGACTCATAGCGACCCCTCCTTGGGTTTCCGAGGCAGTATCTCTACGGAAGTAGGATTGCCCAACCTTCCTTCCGAGGAG